GGTGAAAGGCAGGACAGCTCTCCAAATGGAGTGAGCAGAGGGAGGATCTCACCTGGGCCTGACATTAGGGAGGGCTTGTCTCCCCAGCTCTGGCAGGACAATCTAAGATGGTTATGTGGTCTGTGCACTGCACAGAGAGAGACCTAGCCAAGGAGGCAGGAAGGGGCTGCAGTGCATCCTGCTGTTTGCTCACCAAGCCATGTGCCCTGAGAGCCTGAAGCTGCCCACAGAAATGGTTGTCTTTTATGATTAGTTGAAAGTCTGTGGCTCCTTACAGTCCATGCACAGTGTGGCTGTTTCTGACTGAAGTTGTCTATCTATTTTTTAATTTGCACAAAACCACTCTGTGGCCAGCAGCTGGCCTTTGCTCAGGGTACCGGGCTCCAAAGGATGTGATGAGGTGCAAGTGCTGGACGATACTGGGGTGTCCCAGTCAGCTGGTAGATGTGGTCTCAGGGTTTATAGCCAGGACCACTCTGCTCTGTGGCAAAGACCTTGATTCAAGTCCCAGAAAAATCTTCACAATATAACCTCCCCTGCCTCTCAGCTATGACTCACTTGATTGCCTGCAAAAAAATAAAATAAAAAAAACAGAAATTGGGTTGGGCTTAATTATAAAGCAGAGAACCTCTGCACTGCTGGGAGTGGTGAGACAGTGCCAGGACCAGTCCCTGCCTCAGCCGCACCTGAAGCATTAGTTAGGGGACCTGGGGTCACCAGGACTCTTCCTAGCAGGGAGATACTTCTCGAGGTCCCTTGATTTCTCACTACCCCAGAGCATATACCTCCCATTTTCTGAGCCTCAGGAGAGCTACAGGTCCATGCTGGAAGGGCCACAGAAGGAGTGGCATTTCTGGCCTGGTGGCCCCATGCTGCCTGTCCCTATACTGTGTCCCCGCCCTTGCAGGTCCTGAGCCAGCTAGAGGCCTGTGGTCTCGTGGAGACCATCCACATCAGTGCTGCCGGCTTCCCCATCAGGTAAGTGGCCAGTCACTGCAGGAGGCAGAGCCAATGGCAGAGTGGAGCTCGAGACTCAGGCCCAACAAGAGCCTGCCCAGCCCCGAGCAGGATTTAGAGATGAGAAAGAGGCAGGTCTGCAGATGTCAACCTGGAACTCAGGAGGCTGCATTTGTCTATTTATCCACTGACTTTCTGTGCACTATTTTGTACTATGCCACTGTTTCTGGTATCTATCAGTGAATAAGGACAGTGAGTCTCTGGCCTCTTGGGGCATACATTCCTCTGGAAACAAGACGTATGAAGACAATCAGCGCTAGAACAAAAAATGCTCTTAGGTAGACTAACAGGGAAGGGGATCCTTGGGCTGGTCAGGGAGGGGCCCTCTGAGCAGCTCAGGCCTGTGGGAAGGAAGGGGCCAGTCTGGGAAGATTTGGGGGTGAGGGAAGGAGAGCATTCCAGACCAAGGGAACAGCAACCAGAGTTCCCCGGTTAGGAACTTTGAGGTGCTAAAGTGACAGGAGCACAGAGAACTGGG